TTTACAATCGTTCTATAATCGAACCAATTCGAATACAAATTCAAATTTAAAACGGTTTGAACATTTTTTAAATTGAAATAGAAAATCTTCGAAGTCAACCACTTTAAGTCCCCATATCTCCCGCACCCTTATAGCTTCAAACTTTTCGTTCGACGCTGGACTAGATCGCCGCCGAAAACCCCTACGATGCAAGACCAGATCGCCGTCGAAAATTCCTACAACACAGGACCAGATCGCATCTATCTAAGAACCTTTCCAACGGAAAAATTTATGTAAGCGTTTTTGCTCGAGAATAAACAGTTTGCCTCTGTAAAACACTCTTTTGCTGCCTCATAAAACCGCCACCCACATATGCGTAGACCTTAGACCATCCCGATGGTAGGGAATAAAAATCTCCCCCCTAATTGGCGTTCTTACAAAATTGATGACCCCAATATCATGCCATCCATTCCCTCATTATATTTACTAATTGAAAACTAGCAATTTTTAACAATATTTTTAGCAATCATAAATGTGCATTGTTTATATTATTAATACAATAAACAGTAGTTGATGAAGTATATTTATATAATGTTTCATTTATGAACAATTCACAAAGTTTTACTTATAACCCTAATTTTATCAGTAACATAATTTTATTCATTTTTTGGAAGAATTTTTATTTGAAATTTAGAATAATATACTTTCTTGTAATTAAAAATTTACTTATAATTAGATAAATATCAAATATTTATAATTCTTACACCAAAATATAATTTTAATATCATTAATAAATTATTTTATGAAGAGCAATGATAATAGTTAAAGATTAAATATTATTTTCAATTTCATAAAAAAAAATCAGCTGATAACTGAAATTGAAATTTATTTTCAATTTCATAAAAAAAAATCAGCTGATAACTGAAATTGAAATTTATTTTCAATTTCATAAAAAAAAATCAGCTGATAACTGAAATTGAAATTTATTTTCAATTTCATAAAAAGAATTGATAAAATAAAAATCTCAATTAATACTTATCATTAAATTGAAAAATATGAAATGATATAAAAGATTATGTAAATTACTGAGTTAGAAAAATTGGTATTTACATCTCACAATGTCTAAAATTATTATAAAATCTGTCTTGATGTAAACAATTCCATTTTAAATAAAATATAAAACCCAAAAACAGGTACTGAAAAGATTATAATAATCAAAAGTATGTTTGAATAAAATGCTGTATCCACACACACTTTTAACTCCCATAATCTTTCTAGCACTTGTTTTTTGAATTTTATATTCTAAAATTATTAATTCTTTTTTACAATATCCCAAATTATCTTCAAGTACTTTTCTCCAAGTGTTATTAGTTTTTCGTGCCACTGCTAGAAAAACATCATTGTCTTTTTTGGTTTATAAGTTTTTTCTTTCATCAAAAACTTAAGTAAAGATTTACAAACACAACTGGGACAATAAGGTTGTTTTTTTATAACATGATGTGTATATAATTCACAAGATCACCATAATGGGATGCAAGGAAATGCACTTGTACCCTTAGCTCAAACAAAAGATGTGGAAAAAGAAAAAGAATAGGATATAATGAGAATTTTATTTCATTCATAAATGCACAAAGCAATCTTCATCAGCTTAGAAAGTTTCATTAATTTTGTATAACTAATACATACACAGCCAAGTCACTTTATTATGACTACCAGCTAATATCCAGACTAACTGCCTTTTGTAGCATGGATGACAGCTAGATGGTATGAAAGTGATTCAATAAGATGCTGAAGGTTGCCACAGGTATCTGGTGCCATACAGTGTGTCTGACAGCTGATGAAGGTGCATGGTGGATATGATGATCAAGGTGGTTAATTAGGTTTAAGTCTAGGAATTAAAAAGCCAAGGAAGTACTTGTAAGTCTTGGTCATGCTCCTCCAACCACTCCACGAATATTCTGGACATATCATATGGCCAGAATTGTCATTCTGGCCATATGATATGTCACATTGTAAAGTTGGGAAATTACATTTGCCCCATGAACATGTATATGTGAACTTGATCTGGAAGTATGGATACATATCCAATTTGGTTGAGAGTGCCTTTCAGAGATATTTTCCAATGTGATATGGTACAAATGATTTGCCACCAAATTAGTTGATGATGGAGAAGTGTTTTTAAACATTAATCAAGTTTGTTTTTCCAGTGACATACATAAATCTTCTTTGAATTGTAAAAATTTGCATTTATTCAATGTGCACACTGCAGAAATATTTATTGTTTCACTTGCTTCTATGACAATTATCATCCACAAAATTATGCTCCCAAAAAGCAAACAGATTAAATAATGTTAATAAAAATGTCTTTTTATTAACAAAATTGGCCTTGATTAATGATAATTTTATTTATATCTAATCCTCTTCCTAAATAAATTATAAATAAATGTTAGTATGAATCCTATAAGTACATGAATATTCAAATTTACTTTATTTATTCAAAAATTATTTTTGAATAAATATTTTATATATATATTTATATANCCAAGAATAAAGTAAAAATTATAGTTTTTGTATTAAAAAAATTTACATGATACCATCAAGATTTGAAACACCAAACTCAGATTATGAAACCATTGACTGATGGCTCAATGCAGGTACTATCAACAAAGGATGGATATTCTACAGGCTTTTCTCCTTTAATTAATTTTGAGTATTGCATCTTATTGCTTGGCACATATCAGTTGTTGGGGATGCACTACTTCACTGAGTTTGATCAAAATTGGTGACCCCAATGTCATATTGTCCCCTCCTAAGTATATCAAACTAAACCTTTGTAATAAATATAGTAAATAATTTTAATGTATAATTGACAAACATTTTCAATCTTACACAAGATCTGCTTCAAGTCAACAACATTCTAAAATTGGAATGTGCAGAACAAATTACAAATTTTAAATAATTGGAACAAAAATACAAAGATGTAAAATATAAAATTTGATAATGATTTGGTTGCTTTTGAAGATATATAAAATTAAAACAGATACAAATATATGAAATGAAAACATCACACAAATAGTATTAACTGATACATGTTTGTATTGCCTGGCTTTTCATAAAAGCAATGCCAAGCATATGAGATGCTTTTTCCATCCTAAAATTAATGCAACTGCCCATCCAGTCAGCTTTGTATATTTCGAAAGCTTCCAGAGCCCTGATGTGTGGTCAGTTTGGAAGGATTGTTTGATTAATGTTGCATTCTGGGTTTGATTTGTGCATTGATCTCTCTGGACCAACAGAATGATAGTGTATTTTTTATTCATTATATCATAACAAGGTTGTAACATTTTGCATTTGGAACACTTTGTTGACCCAATGTACCATACACCATATCCTTTTGGAACATGTTTATATTATACATTTTTGTATTTTGTTCCAATTATTTAAAATTTGTTAATTAGTTCTGCACATTCCAATTTTAGAATGTCGTTGACCCAAAGCATATCTTGTCTAAGATCAAAAACATTTGTCAATTATACATGAAAATTATTTATTAGATTACAAAGGTTTGGTTTTATGTTCTTTGTCGTTGATTCAGTTATTGAGAAGGTAATTCCAATTAGTAAATCATTATATAGTAAAATATGAAAGAAAGTGTATTTCTAAATGTAAAATTTTTAGTAAGTCTAACACCATAATTAATGCAAAAAATAGGGTATCTCAAAATTCAGTCAGTCAAAAGTTTGTGATTCATTTATGATTCAATTGCTTCAATGGAAGCATGGATGAATGTCTTATGAACATTTATGAATTATGAATAACATGCAGATATTATTCCAAATTGGTTTTAAAAATGTTCTTAGAATAAATCTTGGCTAACTGATTTTTTGTCAATGTGTATTTCATTAAAAATAACTTACTTTTTTAAATCTTTCACTAATATATTATATATATATATATATATATATATAATATATTAGTGAAAGATTTAAAAAAGTAAGTTATTTTTAATGAAATACACATTGACAAANATGATCATTTGTTTCTTATATTATACACTAAAAAAATATAAAAATCTTTGGAAACAGATAATTTATTCCATCTAATATTTTTTTTAAGTACTCTTCTCATTATCAGAGTTCATTGTTTTTAATCAAGCAGTATATCCCAATGATGATTGAATACTGAAAATGTTTAGTGAAATAAATTCAAATGAAACTATGAATAAATATAGGATTATTATTTTTATTTATTGAAAACATACAAAGAGCAAACTGTGATTTGAATTTGTTGGATAACAAATGTGCTAAAGCAACCCTGTCAGTTGTGCTTATGCATTCAACTGCAAGCTTCCATTAATATTAAACTGTATATATTCATTATTAGTATAAGATATGTTCATGTATTCCTGTACAACAGATCTTCACTTTATAACTGATTTATGTTTTCTTTAATGATTTTAGTGCTTTTTTTCTTCCTAACAATTTCAATGTGGTATTACCTAGTTCAAACAGTCTCTATGTAATTTATGATAAACCCATAGAAAGTCAAAGTTCAATTTATTATGCTTTGCCAGAAATTAAGTATATCGTAAGTGTTGAAAGTACCTCCACAGGTAATCAATAAATGATTGTTATTGCATTACTGTATTGTATTACTTGTAGAGGTTACTATACTGTAAATAACTTTAATTTACATAAATTGAAGATTTATTTCATGTTTAAATTTTTTTAATCTTATGAAATCACTTACATATTATATTTTTTTATAATTTGTCAAAAATGAATATAAGTAGAAATCTTCGAAACTTGGTTCCATAGGGATATCTCACTGAATAGGTTGTTTATGTGGCAAAAAATTTTTCTATTCTATACTGCTATTTGGAAGCTTATATAAATAAGAGATGTTGTTTCTACTCAAATTAAGCTGTCTGTTTGTTTAGACATTAATTTTTGATTTGTTTATAACATAAAAATTGTTATGTACTGAACTATTTAAAAAGTAAAACTATTTTTTTTCTTCAGGATGAAAGTGGAAATAAAATTTGGATATGCCCAGCTTGTAAACAACCAGATGATGGAAGTCCGATGATTGGTTGTGATGAATGTGACGATTGGTATCATTGGTATGTAATTATTTATTTTTTTTAGTATTATTATTTGATTTGAACAGGAAAAATATAATGTTATATATTATATGATGATTGTTACATTATAAATTTTTAAAAATTTTTCAAACCCCAGCCCTTTACTTGAGTTAACATAAATACTGTGCTTTTCTCTCAAAAGCATAATGTGGAGTGTGAAGATTATTTTTCCCTTGCATCCTCCTCAAATCATGGGAATAATTCCCATGATTTGAGGAGGATGCAAGGGAAAAATAAGTGTATTGCCTAAGTTTGACTTAATTGTGAATGATGTTGAGACTGAAGTTTTAAATGCAAAAACGTGTACGTCGGATGTTCAGCACCGTTTTCCTGTAAGCCTAGAAGTTTGACAATGGTGTTTGGAATGTCAAGCATGATTTCACTGACTATCCAAACACCATTGTCAAACTTCTTGGCTTACAGGAAAGCGGTGCTGAATGTCCAACATACACGTTTTTGCATTTAAAACTTTGGTTTCAACCTCGTTATGGTCTGCTCATAAACTGCCTCCAGGTGTAAAAGGCAATAAACAAATAAACAAGCGGAAGTTAACTACCCCACAAAACATGTCTGTAATGGAATGCTGTTATATAGTAACCAAATGTAACAAATCCTAAGATTAAGGTATAATAAATAAAAATTAATATGTAATAAATATGGATATAATATATAACAGGGACCAAAATCTAGCTGATTGGTTGGGATCCCTTCCTTTAAATTGGGAAGAAGGAGATTTTGGATGAAGGTGAAAGGGTCATTACACTCAGATTTCAGCTATCCAATAATTCACAGAGGATGAGAAGTTACTCCTCTAAGAAAAAATGTTCAAGTACAGATACAGTACTGAGATTTGAGGAAGAATGTAGATAGTTCAATGCAATTTTTAATCATATTTTTAATTTAGTTAATTAAAATATATGCTCTCCACCTCAAATTAGTACTGTAGTGTCTTGCCCCTGTACTATACATCATACTTTTCCATTAGCAATGGAGTTATGCTGGCCATCTAACTAGCTCCTTTCAGGGAAAAATTTTTGAATTGAAATAACATGACTTCCAGTACTGCCTGGAAGTTCATATATAGTTAATCAGGGCATCCTGCCCCTAAGCTTTCCATATCTGGTCTTGAATTTCATTTATCTAACACCATTCTTGAGATTAAGGAAAGATGGACAGATAGATGACAGTGGGAATTTATGTCTCCAGTTTTTCAAATCACAGCCCATCAATTAATGTTAAATATATAATTGGTGCATAAACACATAAATATGATGATAGGGTGACAAAATTCACAAGACTTTTAAAATTTGTGGATTAATTTCCATTTTGAGGAAAGTTGCAGAGCAATGATTGTCAAGCTTGTGGTAAATTAATACTTTCTTTATTATTGATGGAAATGCCTTTGAGTGTAACTTTATAGATCTCAATAGCTTCTACAGTTCTTATTGTTTGAATACCAAATATTTTTTTAGCAATTTAGCTTTCTCCAGCACAGGGACACACTAAACTCACTTGCATGTTGTTCAAGTATGGTGACATAATTACCTTTATCTCAATACAAATGCAAAAATCTCATACATTTTTTGAACAGCTTAATAATCAGGAGCAGGCTCCTGAAAGAATCCAAAATGTTTTTTTTTTTTTTTTTTCAATTAAATTGTGCTAGCTTATGTATGCATGGTGTGTTGTGTTGTTTATTACATAAATTTAATCTCTTCGTAAGTTGTCAGTTGTGACTGTAAGGTAAGATGTCAGATTATACTTCACTGGGTATCTGAATTCAAATCAACTCCAAAATCTATATCTATTGATATATAAGTCATCATTGATAGTATAGTTGAAGACATTCTTTCTCATTCCTCATGTCATCACTGCTGTATTATTATGTTATAAACCTGTCTTTAATGAGTGTAAATTGTGACTAGCCTTATATACACTAATATACTGGTGACTCATGTTAACTAATCAATTTCTGTGTAAATTAAAAATAACTTTGCTATTCTCCACACTTTAATTAGGTTTTAATGAAATAATGCATTTTTGTATAACATATAATAAATTGTATATTGTCAAATATTAAAAAAATATTTTTTTTCCATTTATAGGGTATGTGTAGGAATAGTAGTGCCTCCTAAAGAAGAAGAAAGTTGGTATTGTACAAGATGTATAGCCAAACGTCAAGGAGCAAATCCCAGAAGAAAGAAAAAGAAACATAAAAAAGAAAAATAATTTATATCATTATTGTTATTGTCTATTGTGGATATTGTAAATTGATACTGAATGTTGTATTGTACTTTGTTTTTGTGGGTAAATATATTGTTTTTTTTACTGTATTTGTTTTAATTTATTGTGTATAAAATTGTTTTAATAATTATTTTGTTTATTTCTTCAGACTCTATTCTTTTTTATGAAAATTGAACAGATTTTTTCAAATTAATTAATTTATCTATTTCAATTTTGGAGATTAATTTTTTGTTGTTGATATAATTATATTTTTGAAAGTTTTTCTTATAATTATTATTAATTTTTTGAGTCTTGTTTTTACTAAAGAAAAATGAGTTACTTTTCTGTATTGAAACTGTTTTTTAAAATCTAATAATGAAAGAATAGATAATAACTTGTAAGCTTATTTAATCCTAAGAAATTCTGAATTTTTTTTATAAACGAAAAAAGATCAAAATTTTATTATGTAATGATAAGGTCCTCTAAGAAATAATATAAAATTAAATATAATGGAATATAAAAGATAAATTACATTATACAAAGTATGTTAATAAGAAAGAAATTACTAGAAAAATACTAGTTAAAAGTGCATTTTTTTCATAAAATATCACACTTCAGAACTTTAGAATAGAACGTGTATATAAGAATAACATTCATAAGAATGTGTACAAAACTTTATAAATATTTTACTGGTATACAAACTGCAGCTAATTTAGAATTTTTGTGTTTGTTAAATATAATAATTGAAGCAGTAAAATGTACTGTATCATGTGTTCAAACAAAAAGTTTACTTATGACTAGTAGACTTGATGACATTATATCTGGCCATGCTTTTCATTGTCCTGGTTCACATTGCTAGAAACACTTAAATCTTGTAAATGTAATTAACCCAGATTCAAAGGATAATATTTTAACAGAAATGGAAGCACATAGACGATCACATTTGTATTCCAAATAATTAAGGACTGAATTAACAAGTGTACTGTAGTTAATTGCATTAGAGTGGGACTTGGCCAACAAATTGGCCCTCTCTAAAACTTTCATGGATGTAGTTAGAATTCTTGAGAGATCTAAGTATCTTGCCAGAAATTTTGATGTTTCACAATGAGATAAGATTCTAGAAGCATCTGATGACAACTGTGGTATCATAGAAATCAAATTTGTAATGAACATCTGTTGATATGGTTTTCACTATTAGGGTCAGTAGGATAGTATTTCATCTGTAACTAAATTAACAATTTGGAAAGACCAGGATACAGAGGACTGCTTAAGGTATTAAGGCTGCTCTTACTATTTATGTAGAATGGGAAAGTATTGGAATTATGTCAGATTTGACCTTCTGAGTTATTTGCAAATCTCCACATTTTGGGACCTCCTGAATCCAAAAAGTCAAAGAAACAGCAAAAAAATTCCATGTGTGTGTGTTGGCATCTATTTTGCTTAATATCTCAGTATGGGATAGAGATTAAGAAAAAAAATTTGGCACGGTAGCTTGATGTATAAGGAGTATTTATGCTAATAAATTTTGGTGGTTATAGGTTGAGGGGATTAGGAGATAGAGGGTGTTATGTGTGAAAATCTCAAGATAGGTCAAATTTAATGATTTTACCTCATTATTAGCATTTACAATTTTTTTAAAATTCATCCCTAACTTCAAAATTAAGTGTGTTGCCATTGTATAATAATTAAAACTATAAAAAGTTTTTATAACAAAATCTCATAACAGATGGCACCACATATAATTTCCTTTATTATGAATATTAATGAAAAGTTACATTGCTTGCCTCAAATATAATACAATATTTCCTTTAGTACCAAAACCACATGCCACTCGTTGGCACCCTGTCTGCACACACAATGTATGAACTAGCCTGTACATTGGTAATGTTGTTATTACATATCACTAGTGGCACCATGGTAAATAATCTGGTCCTTTTTGCCCCACTGGACCTCTGTGCCCATGGACTCAACAGTTATATGCAGTATAAATGGATCCTAGCACAATCATTAGATTTTTCACTCCTTCAGAAATCCTGCATACATCCTACTCTACTAGATGGTGCCATTTCCAGAATTTGATGCATTTGAAAAGATTTTTGTTCCAAACATCCAAGAGAAGGTGGATAGGATGAGATAACTCAATACCTTGTCCTCCATAATTGCCAGATTAATTCCACTCATTCTTTTCCTTTGGAGCCATATGAAGAGTCTTATTTAATAGACCCCTGTAGAGATGAGGAAGATCTGCTTACACAAATTATGGTTACAGCACAAGAAATTGAACACACACCATGTATTTTTAAGCAGGTGTACCAGAACATGCTTTGCAGATAGCGTTTACATAGGGTTTGCAGGTTATCATATTGAGCAATTCTTGTAGTGGATCAGGATTGAAAGCAAAAAAAAAAATGCTTAAGAAGTATTACATATTTTTATAGAAAGAACATTGCTTTCAAATACATAAAAATAACATACAAAATTTTAAGATAAATCTTCTTAGTTTTTTCTTTAAAATCTTTTCAATTTAAATAACAATAAAACATGAATTTGTCCTCATTTGTACAAAAACTCAGAAGTGTCATCATTGAACTTTAAATGTCTATAACTCCTTAATAAAGACTATTTGAAAAATGTTACTGAACATTTTTATCTTACTTATTTTTTTAAGAAATTGTCCTACAAGTTTTTTAACAGGAATTTCTTTCAAAACACCCTATATACTGTAGTTTATTTAAAACTTCTGAATAGTTTTTTTATACTGTAAAGGGCTATTTTGAATTATCCAGTTTTCCATGCACTCTTTAGCATGGATAATCAGGAGTTTGGTATACAATATATATTATTTATAGTTGTGTGTCCAAACCAACAAACTTTGTTTTTGTATGAGTGTATATAAGGGAAACTAAAAATAATCATTCTTTTTCAATGTTTTGGAGAACAAAAAATATATACCTTAAAAAATGATGATTTTTATTAGATGTGTGCTTTATATAAAAAATACAGTACAATAATACATTTGATCCATACTTGCTGTGGCGACAGCTTTGGTGACAAATCCCAAAGTCGCCACCAGGAGGAACCTCTGAACTGAACAGACCTGCCAACTGACCTATAACAACACATTCCTTTTGAATTCGGACCTCGCTCCAGACGTATGGATTATCGCTCCCGTGTTCAACTTGTACAGTCGCGCCGTATTTCATGTATATAATAAATTTTAATCTTTTATTGTATGTGACCTTGTTTGTAGTGATTAATTAATTACGCACGAACAAGTACGCACACTTGCAATAAACACAAAAAATATGAAAGCCATCTATAGCTAGAAGTTCAATTCAAAAAATTTAGAATATTTGAAATATGTTTAAAAAGTACAGAATATTTTATTTCAATAGTTGGTTTAAATCTGTTGTATGTCTGTCCTTCCTTAATCTAGAGAACGAAGTTAGATAGATGAAAATCGAGACTAGATATGGAAAGCTCAAGTAGGAGGCACCAATTAACTATATACTTTTATATAATATATAATTTTTGAATTTCATGACATTTCAATTCAAAAATTTCCTCCTGAAAGGAGTTAGATGACCAGCACGATTCTATTGCTAACAGGAAAAGTATGATCAACAGAGGCAAGACACTACTAATTTGAAGTGGAGAACATATATTTAACATTTTCTCCCAACGGCATGGAAATACGTAATAGAAAAAGAAATGGGAGTTAAAAACCGTTAAAGATATGGCAGTTATGCTTTAACTAGTTTAATGTATTTTCGATATAGTATTTTATTTTTACATTTGTTTAGTTATATAATGTATTAGTAATTTGTGTTTATTTAATATTTAACCGTTTAATGTAATAATTTTTAAAAATTTTCGAAAACTTTAAATTTCATGAGTATTCGAAAGATTTATGTTCGTTTGTGGAACGATAATTTCCTGAAGATGGCCTATAAGAATAGGCTGAAAGCGTTTGAATATTAATTAAATTTCAGTAAGCTCAGCATGTGTGTCTGGTGTTTAAGTTAATTGTAAGTAAACCGCTGAGGAAGTGGGGATACATATATTTTAAATTAAATAAATTTAAAATACGATTTAAAAAATTAAAAAATTGCAGCTCCGCATTGTGATGATGTCACAATAAAATAATTGCTCGTTCTTTTTGGCGTAACTATCAATAAATGATTGACATTGTTCAAGACTAATATCAGACCAAATTTTTGTAGGTTTTTTTTAATCTGTTTATTGGTTGGGTTAGATTTTTGCAGTCCAAATAGACCAAATACAGGAAATCCTCGTTAATTCGAACTTGGATAGTTATAGTTCGAAATCCCGTTAGTTTGAAACTAAGTTTTTGTCATTGCCGGGGATATATAGATTTACAAGTTAGGGAATTCAACTCATGTTAGTTCGAAATACAGCTACTTCGAAATTCGAAGTAGAAATTCTGTCCGAACTGTGATATGCGTAAGTTACTCGTTCGTTTAGATCGAAATTCTTCCATACCGTAAGAGAACAATAGACCAAGTACAACTCTAATCTAGTCAATATGACCTTACTTTTACAGTAACACATTTTCGGGTGTCACCTTACTCGTGGAATACTCTTTTTTCTCTTATCTTATAAAATATGGCTGGGCAAGATTGGGCTGCAATTAGCAGATTGAGATATTTGTAATGCTCTAGAGTCTAGGTTACTACATTTGGGCTACATTTCGAGAATTCTACTTTACTTTTTATAAAACCTATCTGGCAATCTGCGAGGTTCCCACTGGACACATGCTGTTTACCTACAGTTTATTTATATTATTATGATTATTAATTAACGAAAATAGCGTTCTATATATGTAGCCGTATTCAGTTTACTTAATTTAAAACCCCTTTAGTTCTTCGCCCGAGCTAACTCGGGCAGGTTACATAACGTTACAGAAAACTCGGTCCTTTCGGCCCCCCAATTTTTTTTTGGATTTTTAGAATGTATTTTGTCTCCAAATTTTTTCAAGCCTGTACATTGGTAATGTTGTTATTACATATCACTAGTGGCACCATGGTAAATAATCTGGTCCTTTTTGCCCCACTGGACCTCTGTGCCCATGGACTCAACAGTTATATGC